TCTTCCCTGCAGAGCTTTACACAGGAGATGGTGATCACCGATTTACAGTGAAGCAGCCCACATGATTTCTAGTGAGGAACCAGTGTCTTCTCCCAACTCCTCATGGGTTTTTCCTACAAGGACAGAGGTTACTTGCTCACATCAGCATGGGACAGTGAGGGATAGCTAGCTGGCTTAATCTGAAAATCAGGGTAGATGAGAGCTGGGGGCTCACTCTCTCCAGAGCTGGGTCTTATTGAATTAGCCTATACAGACACACCTATCCTACCTTCAGCATGAGACAGTGCCATTTATGAGCCTAACAACTGTGTTTACCCACTGGTTCCCTCCAGCTCTACATTATTTCCCTGTTTAAACACACGCGGGACCAGGAACCGGGAAGTCAGAAACACTGACGTTGCTGGGATCCTAACGAAGGAAGCTTTCGCTTGAAAAAGCTTTCCTCCAATGAAGGAAAAGTACTCAAGTCACCCTCTGACCTTCACCTGCTTGTGAGGGAAGGAAGGGGGCACCTGGACTGACTGAAAGTTGGATGAGTCCCTTCAGGCAGAATAAGGCCATTTCTTTTTTGGGGGAGAGAGGGTTTAAACAGGGATCCCCCGCACAAAAGTCCTTATTTCAGGATCCCACAAAATAACACTTCCTGGGACCAGAAAGATTTTTTTTTTGGGGGGGGGGGGGGGGAGAAGGGATTAGCTGGGAGGCAGAGCAGGGCTAGCTGGAAGCCATTTGCATTCAAGTTACCTGTATACACAATTATTTCTCCCCTACCTACCCAGAATAAAAATCACCCCAATCCCACCCTGTTTAAGCCAGTCTTCAGTTTTCAGTGTTTAGTCCACCCAACAGAGACACTGCAGGGGCTAATTATAATAGAAACCTGCTTTGATTTTACAGGATCTAACCCCCCCCCACCCAGGTGCACACATTCAGATGCAAATGAGCTTGAGAAGATAAAGGCCAGCTCCAATTAAGTCTCCTCAGGTGTGCTGAAGTCCTTGGGGCACCTGTCCTCCTGAGGAAGGAAGGTGTGTGTGTCCCCCACCCAGGAGGGTTGGGCTGGCAGCTAATTGCTACAATACAGTGATTAATCTTTGCTCCAAGGTGCTTTTTTCCACTCCACCTGCCTTCAGAGGGATGGGGATCCCACCAGAGATCAGTAGTTCAGGACCCACCCCCTCCACCGCAGGCTCCCCCCACACTCCCCAGGAAACCTCCAGGCTTGGTGACCCGTGGTTACCCTCTCCAAGGAAACACCCATGTGGAGCAACGATTGGGAGGGGACGCACCTGTTAATGAACCCATAGCCATTGCGGACATTGAACCATTTCACTGTGCCCAGCACCTGGGTGGCTGAGGAGGAGAACAGATGTCAGTGGGGGGAAACAACCCCCCAGGCACCCCTAAGCCTGGGGGGTCACCCCCCACCTCTAATTGTCCTGCCCCCACCCCATGATGGGGGCGGGGGAAGAACAGGCCATCAAGCAGATGCTCAATTTGGGCAGGCCCCACCTCAGCCCCCCCACTGAGACAGCAACCAGCCTGCAGCACCACAAGACACCCCAGGCCCATTATTAGCCAAGCCACGCCTCCTTGGGAAGAGCCACGCCCACTGACAACATATCCATACCCCACTCCCTCCAGGCTAAGCTCCTAAAGCACAAGCCCCACCCCTTGAAAGGACCTACAGCAGAACTGGCTTGGCCACACCCACATCCCAGAGGCTACGCCCCCACCCCTGCCCTATCCATAGCCTAGAAGTCACAGCCCTATCCTCATCACTTAGCCCCGCCCACACAGAGCCCCCACACCCCTGCCCTAGCCCCACCCACCCCAGACCATGTACCCAGGTCCAAGTGCCACTGCCTCTACAGGTCAGCCCCAGCCCTAGCCCTCTTATCCCTACCCACCGCTGGAAACCACGCCCCCTAGCCAACCTTCACCCCGCCCCTCCTCCAGGGCCCCTCAGTTAGCCCCACCCACACTTCCAACCTTACCCCTAGTCCCCAGAGACCCCGCCCCCACCCCCGCAGCCAATCCGATACCGTAGCCCCA